GTGTGTGTGCATATGGTAGAAAATTACTGCTCTTGTCGTCATTTAGTAAATGTTTATGTTTTGAATGAATATGAATAATGACACGTGTGGCAGACCTGAGAGCGGGTGAATATGGTAAACTGAAAGGAGATAATCTTAGTGTGCTAGCTCATGTGTCTGTGGGGGAGGATACACACGCACACATTTCATTACACATATATGTATGTATAAATGTACATATTTTTTCATTATGCACACAACATAACCATATACCGCACATAAAGGATCTCTCTCTCTCTCTCGTCTCTCTCTCTCTCTCTCTCTCTCTCTCTCTCTCTCTCTCTCTCTCTTCTCTCTCTCTCTCTCTCTCTCTCTCTCTCTCTCTCTCTCTCTCTCTCCTCTCTCGTCTCCTCTCTCTCTCTCTCTCTTCTCCTCTCTCTCTCTCTCTCTCTTCTCTCTCTTCTCTCTTTTCTTCCTCTCTCTCTCTCTCCTCTCTCTTCTCTTCTCCTCTCTCTCTCTCTTCTCTCTCTCTCTCTCTCTCTCTCTCTCTCTCTCTCTCTCTCGTCTCTCCTCTCTCTCTCTCTCTCTCTCTCTTCTCTCTCTTCTTCTCTCTCTCCTCTCTCCTCTCTCTCCTCTCTCTCTTCTCTCTCTCTCTCTCTCTCTCTCTCTCTTTTCTCTCGCTCTCTCTCTCTCTCTCTCTCTCTCCTCTCTCTCCTTCTCTCTCTCTCTCTCTCTCTCTCTCTGCGGGTCTCTATAAATAACATATTGGGTGCCCTATCTGATAGCGTTGGTTGTTATGTATATATATATATATAGTATAATCATAATATCATATATATATATATTATATATATATATATATTATAATATGTGTGTGTGTGTTGTTGGGTTGTGTGTGTGTTGTGGTATAAATATGTGTTTACGTATGTGCTTGCGCCTGTGCGTGTTTGTATATGTGTGGCGTTATGAGTGTGGTGCATTGGTTAATGATATGTACATGTATAAGTATATTATTAGAAATGGTATGGTGTCCACTCTCCCTAGGGATTTCACCTTCTTAGCATGAGGATCAGTAGATTCCCAGAGGATCAGGATCACACGTTTTTCGTAAATGAACCTCCTTCGAAACCCCCATTACGCCTCTGAACTCTTCTGCTTGCTTCTACTACGGTTTTCTCCCTCTCACGTAGGCCTCGATTCGCATAGGCCTA